TTGCCTGGGAATTAAAGAGCACGTGTGACGCACTGAAACATTTTTAGGTCCTATTGTAGAGTACCTTGGTTTAATAGTAGTCAAGGGAGACCGACCCTGAAAAGGCAAGATACCCGGAGCCGAAAAATCTTTTCCACCTCGGATCATTTCTATTCTATTATGCTATTCTATTTAACGGCCGATGCTTCTGGTATTGGTGCAGTATTGAAACAAGAGGGAAGGCCCATTACTCTTATTTCAGGAACGTTGAAACGTTGAAAAAAAGAAACACACTATACTACCAACGAAAGATAATTATTTGTAGATCTATGGCTTAGGAACTAGGGTTAACTTAACACAAATATTTACACAGACCAATCCTTGACCTTGACATCAGTTAGGAACCTAAACGCAAAAATTTAAAGATGGAAGGCGTAAAAAATTCGTGTCGCACATGCTCTTTCTTGTCAGAATTAAAACGCTTTGCAGAATGAGGTAGTTTCAGACGAAACCAATATCAATAGTGAAATTTCATTAACCTAAACGGTAGATGCAATGGAAAAACCTTAATTAATTTCGGAATCACATAATTTTAATTAAGACGTAATTCTAGTGTAATCGGGAGAAAGCACGCCCTGTGATTCCACTAAGCTTATCATTTTTTACATTTTTTCCAAAATTTTACATTTTGCGATACCAAATTCCATACAAATTCGAGTTTCCAACCAATCGCCGGTTAGAGCCTCAATTCTTGCATTTGCCCTCTCTCTCTCTGTCCATATACCTATGCCCTTTTTATCAATGCCTAACAACTTGGATTTATCTCCAATGTTGTCTTTATCGCCTTCTCCGAGGGACTGCCTAATAATTACCCCTGTTTTATCCCCTGTAGTAGTCCCATTTGACCCTGTACTCGAATCTACCCCAGTTAGCCAAACTGCTTCAGAACCCATCATTTGTGAACAATCATATGTAGAGGCATGATTGTTCACGAGTTCAAGCCCAAAAAGCGTATCCAGCCTGTCACCCTTCCAGTCCCTTCAAAACAGTGTACTATTTCTGCCCCAAAAAACTAACTTCGTCTGTTGACCAAATCTCTATTCATTATAAGAATGTCAGATGTCTCATTTCTAAACTTAAATATTTTTTCATAACCACCATTTCCTTATATTGGGATATAATTGCATTTTCAGAAACATGATTTTGAGTTATTTTTTTAACAATTTTATTTTGCATAGAAATGATCGACCGACCTCAGGTGGTGGGGTATTAATTACGCTTAAAGCCAATCTCCGGTCAGAACTTTTCTGTTTTAGTACGCCTACGGATGCTGAAATTGTCTCAGTTAAGGTGTCTTTTCTTACACGCAATGTCTATATTAAATGCGCTTATGTTCCTCCTTCTTCTGATATTTAAATTTATATGTATACCGAATTTCCAATTTGTCCACGTTCCCTTCTATATCCCTTCCTGAGGATGTATATCATCCTACTTAGAAGGTTGCAATGTTCAATTGCAGTCCTCTCGTTTTACATTCGTCATCTACATGTAAGCCCCGTCGTTGCTTTCACAAAGCAAACTATTCCTTGCATAATCAACGTATTCATGAAATCGATAGCACCTTTTTATATGACGCAGTTGATATGAATATTGCTATTAATGTTTTTTTATACTACCCTGAACTTCATCTTAGATGATTTCATTCCTAATACAATTCCCTCAAATGCTACATCACAGCCACCCTGGTTCACTGCCAGACCCACAAAATTTAAATTCTAAAGACTTTAAAAAGTTTAAAAGGTTTGGTTCGAGAATTGACTTGGCTAAATATTCCAAAGCCAAGTCTACTCAAAGAGTATAGTTCTTCCCTTCTTTGTCCATTGATGAAGCTTTTTAATCTATCCCTTGAATCTCTCCATCCTTGTGGAAATAATCTTATATCATACCTCTTTACAAGATAGGTGGGAAGTCTAATATACAAAATTACAAGGGAATTGCCAAACTGTCCTCTATCCCTAAATTATTTGAAAAAATAATCACTTCGAATTTGTAGCATTTCTGCAAATCAGTTGTTTCCCCTGTTCAACATGGATTCGTAAAGAATCGGTCAACTACGGCCAATCTGCTTGAGTTTACTTTCTTGGTAAATTATGCTTTCCTTTCGAAAATGCAAACTGATGTCATTTACACTGACTTCAGTAAGGCGTTTGACTCTGTGCACCATGACATTTTTCTTTTTAAACTTAACCGAAAAGGTTTTAAATGATCTCCCCTTTGTTATATCACATGCCCGTGTACTCATATATGCGTACGATGTCAAACTTATTCTATAATACACTAATCCCCTACATCATTCTCGTCTACACGACTATTTGAACGCTATGCGATTGACAACACTCCACTGCAACGTATATTTACAGTTAATGATCTAGGCGTTCTTTTTAATTCTAAACTCAGCTTTAATCTGCATAAAGATACCATCGTTAATGAGGTAAAAGGGATTCATTAAACGATGGTCTAAGGAGTTGAACGATCCTTTTAAAACGAAACTTCTGTACATCGCCCTATCCTTGAATACTGCTCTTGCATTTGGTCTCCGCAGTATAACAATAGCCAGAATCATATTCAATCTGTTCAGAAGCAATTTTTTCTTACGAGGCTTAAATTGGTTGCAATCTTACTCCAACAGACTGCTACCTCTCAAGGAACCAGTCACATGTAGACTCAGACTTGCTACCGGGGTAGTAAAATGCTTATGGATGTTGTATTGATAATTCAATGTTTCCTAACAGCGCTTTGAAATTTTTATAGCAATCACCACTCCCAATTTTTGCGAGAATCTTAGATTAAAAATTGCATGACATATTTCACACAATAGTGCATTTTTCAAACTTAAAGGAATCTGATGGATTAATATCACATTTCAGTTTGGCTGTTTAGCCAAAGTTATCACAAGTCTAGTTTACCAATAACTCTTAAAACAGATTTTTGTGTAAGTTAATTATGAGTCAGACATTAAGAGTATGCATCAAAGATAGAAAGTAAGTAATCAAAAATGTCCATTGATGCCATGTGTGTTCTGACATCTTCTATTTAAGGGTACTCTTGATTTTAACGAATTCCTAATGATATAGGCCAATCGTGCAAAAAATAATTGTTGAATTATTATAATTTTTTTATATTTATATTTATGGAAAGTAACTTAACTCAAATAGCAGCGCATACACGCAGCCATACAATACAAAAACAATTGAAATTAAAGAATTCAAAAGGAGTCGAATATTTATGAATTTACGAATATGTATAGAGTTTGTGCTAGCTTCTAAATCTTTTCTGTTTCTTATTTGATTTGGTAGTCGGTGCAATGCTTTTTTATGATATTATTTGATTGATAACTTCTGTAATTTGTTTCCCAACTATTATAATCCCATAAATTACAATGGTTTATTTTATGTTGCAACAACAAAAAAAGAAACAAGTAAGAGGTTCTAGTCGAGAGTACCCGTCTAGGGGATACACCGAGCCCTCTTATTCCAACACCAAATGCAGCAGAGGCTACATGCTCTTTTGTAGTAATAGGGTAAGAACAAAAATAAAAATGTTCCTTGGGGAAGGTTCGAACTTGCCACACCAGCTTGTTAACTCGGTAGGGCTCGATCTTGGGACATACCACGCAACTTGCCACCGCCCCTACTCAACAGCGACACCATTCATTGGGTCTTAATGAGAAAAATAGAAAAAAATAGCAGCACAGAAAACAATACAATCGAATTCGAAGCAGATGCACATGAATGTGTGTGTGTACATGTATACAGAAATTCTTGCAAATTTGCGTCGCAAACACGTCTTATTGTACCATATACATGTTTGGTTAATCACTTGATTTATAGCTATAAGGTAGTAACGGGTAGGTGGCGATAGGTTGAAATGAAAGATATTTTATATATATATACTATTCTAGAATAATATATATGGCTGGGCTCTTATATATAACCTTATATATAACCCAATTTGTTAAAAATAAAAAACAGGATTTCGATATCGATTCTTATCGATTGCCTGTAAATGGATTTCGAGGTTCTAGCTCTTTTGGGTTTTAGATATCCTTACGTTCATACATACGAACAGACAGACGGAAGGACGGACACACAGACGGACATGGATCGACTGAATGCTGATCAAGAATATATTTACTTTATGGGGAAGGATATGCTTCCTTATACCTGTTACACACATTTGCACAGTTACAATATACACTTTTTAACCATTTTCAATGGGTTCAGGGTATATATACTCACAAAAAATGTATATTTTTATATATGGAGAAATAATGTAAGTATTAACATATGCAACATATTTCAATGCATATTTAGGACATTTTATCTTAGGGGCAGAAAATGTAATTAGTTTTTAAAATCGTTCGTCCTCCGGGACTTGCCGGTAAATCAATCGGCCGCCGGGACATCAACAACAATGGATTGAGCAGGACGCCTACCCACTTTTACTTGATTTATCGTAGAGGCATACGTACGCACACGTATAATTTTTACACATTCCTGCAAACAGTATTATCGCCTTCACGTGTGAGGGCGATGAGAAATTTCACGTACTCAATTTTATGAAAATCAGGCTGATTTTCTATTATCTAATATATAACACTACCTTTCTTAGTATATATATTCTTTATCGTATTATAACTTAGTTTTGAAACAAACCACTAGTAATAGATGATTTAGATGTTCATAAAAAATTAATGAATATATACTGAATAAAAATCAAAATCTTTCCCTGACAGTGTGGGTACTCCTTTGGCTTGAATACTCTTGCCTGCTGGAATGAAAATTTCTACAATGCAATACATACATAACAACATAAGTAGCTACATTGTTGTGTTTTTGCTTATACGTGCCGTGCTTAAGAAACGTAAAAGAGAAACGGACACAAATAGGTGCAGCATGTTTCATTCCATACGTTTTTAGTTCAACGCTATTGAGTTCTCCAATTGTTAAATTAAACAAATTTTTTTTTTTAACAAGAAATTTTAGCTGTGTTAAGACTTTGTATAATCCTATTTAATTAAGAAAGTAATAAGAATGAATGTGGTAACGACAATTAAAAATAACTGGAAGAAAAGTGTCTTATTATCCTGCGTTGTCGGATATGGGATCTCAACTTTGAAAACTAATATAGAGTACGTGAATGATTCCAAATAATAATGTATATTAAAGAACAGATAACTATATTGTTTCAGAATTAAGCGCTATATGAGCAAGTTCTCAACTGATGTGGCCGTTTTTGGTCAAAATTCCGAATCCCCGAAAAATGTTCTTGTTATTATAAATCCGATCGCTAATAATAAAAAGACCGAAAGTTTGGTAATCATTATGAATCCTAACATAACATAACTATTATTAACTTTAATTAATTTTATTTTCAGTTTAAAAAGTATTGCGAACCTATACTACATTTAGCTGGGTTCTCTGTTGAAATACTTCGAACGAACCACATTGGACATGCTAAAGCATTTGTCGAAGAAATGAATACATTACCTGACGCTATTGTTGTAGCAGGAGGAGATGGTACAAAGTCCGAGGTTATTACCGGTCTTTTGCGTCGACAGGGAGATCTCTGTCCCGTTTCCCTACTTCCCCTAGGCCGCGAAAAGCAATCTTTATTCAAGAGCTTTAAAATAACCAGTAAAAATGATGTTGAATATGTGACAAAATTATCAAACGCTCTAATGCCTTTGCTAAAAAATCAATTTAGGTTCGCTGATGTAATCCAATATGATGTTCTCTCCAATGACGTTAGCGATGGCAATGCTAACTTAAAACCGATTTTCGGATTGAATGGTTTATCATGGGGCATCTTAAAAGATATTGACTCCTCGAAGGATAAATATTGGTATTTTGGTCCGCTAAAGCACTATATGGCTGCGTTTTTAAGATCGTTTTCCGGAAGCTCTGATTGGGATTTAGAGACTGATTATGTATACACACCTCCGTGTCGTGGCTGCAGTAACTGCTATGTTCAAACAGAAAATGCTAGCAGTACAGGTTTTTTCGTGAGTAAGCTTGTCAAATCTCAAAACCTAAATAAGGTTTCGACACAAAAACAAATTAAAAACGATAGCTGCGCTACCAATCTTCATGGTTTTATAAAGTCCAACCAAATTAATATAACCCTCAATCAAAATGATGAAAACTTTGCAGAACTGGAGAGCAAATTCATAAGCTCCTTACAGCCAGGATGGGACTTTATTAAGAATATTCCGAACATTACCAAAAAAACCATTAAACCTAATTTGATACTTAAAAGTAGAACGATCAAACTTTACCCATCAGATAGTACTTCTCCAATATTCTATTCTATCGATGGGGAGGAATATGAACCCCGCCCCATTCAAGTATCTGTTGTTCCTAAAGCTATTAAAGTATTTTGTTAATTCAATGTTGAAGTTTATTATATCGAATTATTATTTTTTAACTAGTATTGCATTATGTATTCACAGCAAAAGTTTATTGTAATTTCTTCCCAATTCCATTGTGAAGTGGAAGTACCGTGAAAAATTAATAATTATAGGTCAATTTTTGGGGTTCACATTGTCGGACACTTCAGACTGGACTGACTATGCAAATGTTGTTCATCTATTAAGAGAGATTACGAGTTATTCGACGTCATGTTCAATCCGTTTTCTGGAGACTCGGCCAAACACAAATCATCTATCATTGGCGAATTAAGCCTACGGCAGATACTAAAGTCCCACCAAAGACAATATAAACACTAAGATGAGTAACGCCCATACATTTGAATGCGACGCAAAATTTCTAGCCTGGCCATTCATCTGGCCTTTAAGGCTTCGTACGACAAGCCTGCCGACTGGTTGTTCGTTCTCCAAAGACCAGACGAACGAATGCCGAAGTCGCGGCTTAACACGAGCTACGAAGTTTGTCGCCAGCCTGCCTTCAGCAAAGCTGGTCGATGCTGCTTTGCGTCGCTTCGTTTTCAAAGTAGATTGAGCGAAAAAGTTTAGAACTTACGATCGACGCAAAGTGCTTGTGCTTTATTCATGTAATTCATGCTTTATTTAAATGATATATTACCCTAGATATTAACAAATAATTTTACAGGAAAATTTAAGAACTTTGATAATTTTTACACAAGGCGCTTCTTGCGCAATAACTATGTTAAGAAAATAGCACACATAGATTGATTTCACTTTTCTTTTTGGACAGTGTATGCTCGAGAAAAGTTCTTGTCTCAGCCAAGAAGTTGTATGCGTGAATTATACATGCATAAGAACCTTAAAGTATGTATGCATGTGTTGATATTCACTGCTCTGGCTTTAGCTGGCAAGAAATTAATTTTGTTAGTTTTCTAGCGCAGATCATGAGCTATCCCAAATTTGTGTTGATATATGAATGCATTTATGGGGTTGGAGATGTCTCCTTCTATGTGTTACACAATTCACGACATAATTATAATATCCTCTGCAAGGGTATAAAAAAAAGATATGCAATCCAAGTTTAAAAGTAATAAAATAGTAGAAATAATTATGTGTAACAGCTATGTTAACTAAAAGAATAACCTATTCAATTTTGGAGGTAAGAAACAAATTAAACAAGAGGTTCTAATCGGGAGCTCCCGACTAGGGAATACCCTGAACCGTCTTATTCCAACACAAAATGAAGTTCTCGCAACGCGCTTGTTTTAAGTAAAAAGGATATCTTAAGAAAAAAAGCTCCCACACCAGTGAACAAAAAAATAGTTTCCTTGGTAGGGGTCGAACTCGCGACAGACCGCACCACTTGCTATGCCTCTACTCAACAGCCATACCAATATTTGTGTATTATTGAGAAAAACTAATTAAAATAGCAGCACCGAAAACAATCGCGATTGCAATGCTGTTGATAGAATTCGAAGCGGACGCGCATGAATGTGTGTGTGTGTGTATAAAGAAATTTTTGCGATTTGCGCTAGCTGCCCCATCAAATTGTGCAGCAAAACAGAAGTTTGGTTTTTTTTTAACCGGTCTTAATGAAATTCTCTACGGTATATTTATTTCATTCTGCCATAGAATATTTTTGTATTCTCAAAAAGTCAATTGCATTTATTTGTGTTTGGTTATTACCTTGATTTATAGCTATGAGGTAGTAGCGGAGAGATAATGAAGGATACTTGATACTACTAGTCGAGAAGCAATATATCAATTTGGTGACTCTAGCTTTTAATATTTACCAAAATTGTTCAAAATAAACGGATATCGATTCTTATCGATTACTTGGAAACGGGGCAAGTTATCTAATATCGAAAACAAACTCGATCTGCGCAGGCAATAGGAGGTCCTTCATCTAAAGTTTCAAGTCTCTTGCTCTTAGAGGTTCTGATATCCTAGTATGTATGAACAGACGGACAAATGTAATATCGATAAATACTTATGATGCTGTTTTACTTAACATTGATAACGACACTATCATAACATAGCTAGGGCTACCCATGACGATCTTTTGCTATTACAATTGCTAGATCTACTCGGCTATTGATGCTGATCAAGAATATATATACTTTATGGGGTCGGAGATGTTTCCTTCTGCCTGTTACATACATTTGCACAAATGGATAATGCCCCTCTTACCCATTTTCAGTGGGTTCAGGGTATAAAATCCGCGGTATAAATGATTTAAATCTTTTAAAGTTGGATTGTTATCATGAGCGACGTAATGATGCCTTTTCTCTCGATACACGACGCTTTAGGTTAGGAAAGGGGTTATGTTGAGCACCGGCTAGTCACGATTCCCGAGATTAGTGTTAATACGAAATGAAAAGGATTATCAGACATTCTTTATAAGCATCACTTTATTCACATTTCCTTCCTTGTAATTATCACGCACTACCCTACTTTGTTTCCCTACGAGAAAACCTTCCCGCACTGTCTAGTGCACTAGCGCTCCGATACCCGTTGAGGGTTATGTTTGTCCCTTTGTCCTCTTCGACACACGTCTACTCATTTTGATCGTCACCGTAAAAGTACCGGCATACTCGCAGGCAAGCCTTGCGTTTGCCTCGGGCGCTCAATTTACGCAACTTCACCTCGGAACCTTCGCTCTTCGCCGCCGAACTGAAGTTGTGCTCTCGAAGATGGCGTTGAGCAGTCGATCAGATGCGACGGCTGGCGGTTAAATTCAAACTTAATTCGAACTTGGCACCTTGCCGTTAACTAGCTTCAATACATACATACATACAGCTTGCCTTATCTGCCCTTATTAATAATACAATACTTATAGCTATACAACGCTTATACCCTATAACAATAATTATGAACTGTGGGGTGGCTACCTTAGTGGACGCCTTACATCCCGCCCTTTCTTCGACGACGACACCGTCGCATCCTCGGCGGCGTTTATGGGGATGACTCCTGGGTTCCTCAACTAACTTGTCGCTTATCAGTTGCTTATGTTATTCCCTGCCCTAGCAGTGAAGTTCACGTGGAATCCACTCCATCTATTCTAAACTTATTCTACTGTTAGGTCTGCTGTGTACGCTCTTCTTTCACATCCAATGGGTTCGGTTCCCCTCCGTCTTAGGTCATCTCTTGGTAAAACGGTTTCAGCTGCGAGATATCGGCCTCCCTCTTCTTTCGTTCGCCTGGGGTTGCTAGGCGCGCCATGTTAGGCGACACGAATAGGAGCCATCGAATTTGGGGGCGTAGCGAAGCCCTCAGGGGGATTGGACAGATGGTGCTGCCGTAACAGGACCATCGAGTCCAAAGAAGGCCGCCACTCTCGTCTCCGCAAGTTGTAGTGTTTGCCCTGGTCCTTTGATGCGCGGTAGAGATTGCAGTGGAAGATATAATAGATTTCTTTTAAATTATTCTCTTTTGTCCTGGGGTCGAACGCACTAGTTACGGACCCCCGAGTTACCTGATCGTACAAAGCAGCGAGCAGCCTCTGCTCCCTGCCCTGCATTAGAAAAGCGGGACTGAATCTGGTCGAGTCCGCCACACTTGGGCAAAAGCTCGTCCCACGAACTCTGACGGCCTTCGATAAATTGCGCTATCATGGTCTTCACGGTCCGGTTGGTGGGATTCTCTTGCGGACAGTACGGGGTGGTTAAACGAAATGAAATTACATCCTGTAAACTGTACCTTCTTGTCGCACACGAACTTCCTAGGTACCCCGAGCCTACTCAGAGTTCTCTATCGGAATGCGGAATCGTACCCCGGCCAGTAGCTTCTTTACAAGTGGCGTCCGAGCAGGGACGTGAGGCGTGAGGCATGTTGGCGGATTAAAACCGCATGCCCAAAAAAAAGTTTTTTGAATAAAAAAATGTATACAGCGTATTTGTGGTCGGACATTCCCTAAAATGTGGGTACTATAGTAGAGGACGAGGGAAAAATAATGCCTCGCATATGGCAAAATCGAGCATACCCTATCGAATTTGTTTCATACCTTGTGCTAGACAGAAAATGAACACCTACAAGAAAAAGTACAGCGCTCACGCGCCAGACGGGCGACAGCGAGACCACGCACGCTGAAGCCGACGTCGGTGTCGAACGGCCGTTAAGGCGTCGCGACAGCGACTGTACTGTGGGACGAATTCAACTCACGCACGGTGTTGAATTCGTCAGTACAGTTGGGGAAAGTAATAGCTACGGGTGTGTTAAAGAAGAATAAAATAAGAACAGACAAAAGTAAGACAAATTAAATGAATGAGGAATTAAAGTTGCAAGGATATAAAGTAGATTCATTTGTTTTATTATACCCTTGCAGAGGGTATTATAATTTTGTCGTGAAATGTGTAACGCATAGAAGGAGACATCTCCGACCCCATAAAGTATATATATATATATTCTTAATCAGCATCAACAGCCGAGTCGATATAGCCATGTCCCTCAGTTTTACAGCTATCTTAATAAAACTTTACAGAACTCCTTCTTTCTGTTGCACGCAGCAGATATGTGAAAACCAGCTGGATCGGACCACTATATCATATAGCTGCCATAAGAACGATCGGTCGAAAATTAAGTTTTTGTATGAAAAAACAAATTGTTTTTCAAGATATCTTGACCAAACTCGGCATTTATTAGTTTTACTATGCTCCTCATATATATACAAAATCCTATTAAGATCGGACCACTATATCATATAGCTGCCATAGGAACGATCGGTCGAAAATTAAGTTGTATGAAAAAACATTTTGTTTATCAAGATATCTTGGCCAAACTCGGCACGTTTTCTCTACCGAACTGTCTCTACCCCTAATAAAATCGTTGCTTTCAGGATACCTTCGGGAAGTCGCTGACCATTTCCAGCTATGAGCAGGGGCATAGCTAGCCGGACAGGCTGAAAAATTTTCCCGGTGATTTCCCATTACTTTATTCTTTGTCCTATCTACTTAACACTCTTTATCTAACTTACATTGCTTTACTTTATTCACAATTTTCTTACTTTCTTTTTTCCTAT